CCCAAGCATATTTTACTTTTAATTGATGTATAAAGTACTAATATATTAATCGTCCATCATCATGCCATAAATATAGTGTATGTTGCTCTTTTCCTTAAATTATCAGATTTAGTGACCAAGAAGCATCCTCTTGGTCAGCAGTCCATAATTGCCTCTTTTACTCCCTAACAATGGGATGCTCAGGGTGTCTTCACGTTGTCATGGGTAATGCTGAGAGAAAGGAATTCCTGCACCATCTTTTTATTTGTGGTGAATTATCTATGAAGATGAATTCTCAGAAGAAGGATTAACCATTGGCCAACAAGGAAGAGCAGTTTTCACACTTTTGCCAAATGTTGACTATTCCCCTCCAGAAGTGTTTCCTCAAGTTTTGGTGGCAGTGTTCCTAATGCAAAGCACGCAGGCTTTAACATCAGATGGAACTAGGCTCAAATCCCAGCCAAGGCACTTAATGTCTGAGGGCAGAGGACCTTATCTCTTTGAGCCTCCATTTTTCTCATCTGTAAAATCGGAGAGATGAAACTGATCTCACTGAGGGGATTAAATAGGATTGTAAATACCAGTGCCCTCCTACCCAGTGTCTGGCTTATTGTAAATACTAAGTCCATTCTTCTTACCCTCCATATGTCTTTCTTCTTGGAATTGTTTGGGACAAGTGGCTTTTTACTTCTCTATTTCCCGTCCTTCTGGAACCATATGCCCCATGATAGCTTTAGCTCTGGAACCAGAAGTATCATTTCTCTGAAGAGTGTTGCCCAGCAGAAATATAAAACAAGCCACATATGTAATTTTAAATTTGGATGCAGCCACATTTTAAAAAGTAAAAATACATAGGTTATATTCGTTAAATCTATTTATGTAACTAGATTTTAAATATATTTTATTTAACCCAATATATCCAAGATATTTTCATTTCAATAGGTAATCAGTATTTTCAGTATTAACGAGGTGAGATCTTTGACATGTCTTTTATTGTTAATATCTTTGAAATCTGATGTGCATTTTACAACTTACAGGACATCTCAGTTCAGACTGGCTACTTTTCAGGGATGGCTGCAGGCTATTGCATTGGATAACACAGGTCTGGAATTTGAGACTTAAGCATTTACCAGGTGCAAAGGACTTAGACTTGTGGCCTGGAGACATAATTTTGGATGCAAGTTCAGGTGCATTTTGATGGTTTGCAGCCCTTGTAGGGAGACAACAAAAGCAAAGCCCTAGTTGTAAATAAAGTGGATGTGAGCTCTGAAGTGTAGCTCAAGGAACTCTGAAGAGCACATCTTCCCCCTTCCCTTCCTGCACAAACTATCTCCCCTCCTGAAACCAAGTCCCCCTAAAACTGAGTTCCTCTGTGGAATTTATTATGAATGACCTCTCTATATCTAAAACTTTATTCCCTTTCTTGTCCCACACCTGTTCCCCTCAGGAGTGAGCAGTAACGAAAGAAAGGGGGGATTGAATCCAAGCAGGACCCTGCAGGGTTTTCCTGGGTTAAGACAACAACAGCAACAACAACAGCAAAACACACCCTCCGTGTCTCTCATGTCTTATTTATAGGGGGTAAAAGGTTTTAGTCTCCTTGGCCTTCTTTGAGTTCCAAAGAGCGGGCTCAAGCAGTTAACAGTCAGGACAGTAGAGTCACAGGACTCTGTTCCTCTTGAGGGGATATAGAGTAACAATCTGATGCGTATCTCTGGGTCGTTCTGCAGAAACTAAGATCCCCACACGGGTGGAGGATGATGACTGCATGCTGATCATAGCACATAGACCCCAGACTGGCTGGAACCAGACGGTTGATGATTGAGATTCCCAAAACATCACTCCACTACTAACCAATCCCAATTAGGTCCACAAGCTGATCATGCATCCTTTGGACCCTCTCCCCTTTACCCTTTTTGCCTTTAAAAACCTTGCGTCCTGGCCAGCAGCAAGAAGCATTTGAGACGAGTCTAGATCTCCCATCTGCCAAGTTGGCACCTCCTCGATTAACACACCTTTCTCTGCTCCGGACTCCAACATTTTGGTTTATTTGGCCTCACTGTGGGTCTGGCTTGGGTTTGACAGCACTCCCTCCCCAAACCCAAGGGGCCAAGCTGCCTTACTTGTCTACCATGAAGGCCACTTGTGAGCAGAGAGTGCCAAGAATTCTTTCCTCTATTTGATATTCTATAGGCATCTCCACCTTCATGTATGTTCAAACCAATATTCTGGATGATCACCACCTTGTAAATATGCTTTTTCTACCCTTGACCCAGCTCAGGGGACCCAGCTCAGTAAATGACAGTTCCATTCTCCTGTTGCTCTGGAGTCATCTTGAACCTCTCTCTCCTATATCCTATACTTAGATTATTATCAAATGCCTCTCAAAAAACACCCTGAATCTCACCACTCTGACCACCTCTCATTATCTCTACTACTATGACTTCGGGGCAAGCCATCACTACCTCTAGCCTGGACCCATTACAACAGCCTCTTAACTGATAGTCTTTCTTCTTTGTTTGTTACCCATAGAAAGTGATTTTTCTTTAAAATGGGAGCATACATCAGCAAGGGTCAAAAAAACGTATTTTTTAAAATAATTGCAATAATATCAAAATATAAGCCATTTAGGAATAAATCTAGGCAAAATATGCACAAATTTAATAAAGAAAATTATAAAATTTTATTTGAATACTTTAAGGAAGACCTATATAAATAAGGAGACAAACCATGTTCATGAACTGGAGGAATCGTTTTCATAAAGGTATCACTTTTCTCCAAATTATATTTGCTATAAAATCTGAACATAACTTTCTTGTTGAATCTGATAAGCTGATTCTGAAATTCATGTAAAGGAAGAAAGAACCAAGACTATCAAGACAGAATGAAAGAATAAAAAAAAAGAGGAGATTCTTTCCAGATTTCAAATTTTATTATAAGCCCCTAGTTAATAATATTATTTAGTGTTGGTATATAAGCAGCTCATACAACTCAGTAAGAAAAAAAT